TATATCCTTCTTTCGCATCGTCTTGTGAACTTGTCTTAATCCCTCTCACGTTCATCTTAAAGAGCTGTCTCCCAGATATGTGCGCCACGCTTTGCTTCCTCCGTCGGGTGTAAATATCGGCGTGGGCGTGTATTTGGCGACCGGCTGAGGCCAGAGAAAATCGACGAGAGGTGTGGTCATTGGGATGAGGACGTACTTGGTCGTACTTGTAGGCTTGATGAGGCTTAGGTAGGATTCAAACTCGTTGGGAGCGAAAAAAAGATGTGGTGGAGTATTTTGAGTCATTGCCTCGTGGGCCAACTTCTTTGATATTGTGAAGTTTGACTGAACTTGGCTCTGGGAGAATATTTCACTCCCAGGTTCGTAAAGGACACTGCGTACAGGTGTTCAGTCTTGCCCTCCGCATGGCAATAATAGGAGCGATGCCGTGGTGTGTGTCTAAACCGCAGGCACCAGCCATGGACCTAACTGCTGTCGCTCCTGAGCAGTGGGTTCAGGACCGCTCAGTTGGAACATTGCACGTAAGTGACATAGGGAGCGCTAGCCGTTGGAACAACGTAAGCTTTCTTGAATAACAGATTCATGAGCAGTAGACTTTTAGCTTGGCACACCGTGGGCAGTGGGTCAGGAGGTAGGAGGGCAACACTGAACACCTGCTCGCAGTGTCCTCTACGAACACGGGAGTGAAATATTATCTCAGAGCCAATTTCAGTCAAATTTCGCAATATCAAAGAAGTTGGCCCACGAGGCAATGACTCAAAATACTCCACCACATCTATTTTTCGCTCCCAACGAGTTTGACTACCACCTAAGTTTCATGAAGCCTACAAGTACGACCCAGTGCATCCTAATCCAAATGACCACACCTCTCATCGACTTTCTCTGGCCTCAGCCAGTCGCCAAATACACGCCCACGCCGATATTTACACCCGACCGAGGAAGCAAAGCGTGGCGCACAAATCTGGGAAATAGTTCTTTGGAATGGACGTGAGTGGATTCAGGACAAGTTGACAAGATGGTGCAAAGGAAGGATATAACTTCGATGGGCGTGAATTTTGGAATTTTTGGCAAGGAGTTTTACGAATTGAGTTTTGTACGCGCCAAGACTTCGCTTGCGAGAGTGCAGCTGACACTACAAAAACAAGTCGACGATGGAAGGTGTCGTCGTCCGCCTCCGGGTGGTATTCTCTGGTATAGTTTGAGTAGCCTGGGCATCTACTCCACTTGGGAAGGAGAAACCTCAGATTACATTTCGCCCGGAGAAAAGTTGATGGTTGACGGAGGCATGTCTGGATAACTCAGGGTTTTTGAGACGTTCCCCTTGGTGGGTATTCACGGATGAGGGTTGACTTGGGGTGAAGAAAAAGCCACCATAACTTCGCAGTGGTACCTGCAAACGAAATCCGAGGCATGAGTGCTCTTCCCTTACGTTAAATTAGCCATTCTGTACTTTTCTTTGATATTGTGTCATAGCTAGATAGCTGCATACGCAATTAAAATCTGATGCAAAAATAAAAAAAGGTCAGGAGGTAGAGCGTAGAGGATGACATGGGTCATATTGGAGTATATAGGTGTTATGGGCTGTGCCCCGTTCGATTAGGCTAGGCTATCTTTGAGGCCTAGCGTCGTTCAAGGACTTCAATCATGTGACCAACATGGGGTTGTTTCTCACGACGCGAATCATTTAGTTGATTATGCTGAGGCTGGGAAACAGATCACTCAGTAGCGAAGGATTACGTGTCAGGAATCAAGATCACTGGTAGCCGCAGAGGGCATATTCAATGTAACAGATTTCCTGTAGTTAATCTCTACAGAAAAATATTAATTCTTTGTGGTACTATTTACGTGTGGTGTGGGTTAAACCCTCATTGTCTATTGGAAAAGATTGAAAAAACAGTATTTACCAAAACAAGTGAATTTTGGTGGTTTAATGTCTACTTTTAGCAGTCCTTCATAGTCTTAGACTCAGTAGGGACTTAAATTTAATTATATTCTATTCTATTCTATTCTACGTGTGGTGTCCGTAATCCTCTTCGCCCTTAACAATAGGTAGTCTATGTTCCATCTCATGATGAGTCTCGCAACTGACCCGACCAATTACATCTCCCACAGTTAGTTTCAGATTAAACAGGTGATAAATAACTAAGTTCCCATTTAACTCATAACCCTAACACTGGGTCTGCAGGTTTCCTGAGACTTTTTCCCACGCACGCAGTTTCCATTGCGACAATTTTTTTTTGGGGTAGAAGGTTCCGTAAAAAAGGTGGCCGAATTACGCGGATAAACACTGAGCTAAATGGCTATTCATCACGGGCAATATACCAATGGTCTTGTAAGTAACAAAAGTGGCAAGGAGAATTGTACCAGGTGTGGCCTGGGTCAGAGAGGAGCTCAATGTGCTAGATAGTCTGTGACCCAAGTAGTACAGTAAACACAAATCTCTCTCTCCATTCCTACTAGTTGGCTCTCTCAGATACGCAGAGATACTAGGCATTTGCAGCGGCAATACTGGAAGATGAAGAATTCAGCCTTACCGGCTGTGAGTGAGGTGAGTATCGAGCTCGCCGACGGGAAGAGAAAAAGGCACGTGGGGCTTTGATCTGAGTACCGGCTCGAAATGACCTTGACAAGGAAGAGATCTTTGAAGTAGAATGAGAACAGTGTTGAAAAAACGTTGCCTGGAGAATGTTTCTCTACTACGGGCCACGCTTCATTCATTACCTATTCATAGTTCACTATTATATCACATTTTCCCACTCAGACCTGAGATTTGAATGTAAGGGAAGGCAAAGAAAACTGTGCCCGGTAATTATTATACGCTAGAAAGCTGTGGTGCTAAATGTTAGTAAATCAGTGTACGTTTGATGAGTCAGGCGGCTCAAATAATTAGGCGCCATTTATGAATAGAAATAATATTAAATTGGGAGGCCTTCTATAGCTGTATTACTGTAGAGAAGACAAGGGAATTAGCACAGTGGAAGGAGGTTAGATAGAATGAGAAGCGATAGTGATGTATTCACGAGAGCGAGATAGACTTCTTCTTCTGTTCATTAACGTGCTAGGTATAATGATTCCCGTTGCACTCCTACTGGAGCTTAAGCACGGGTGGGGCCGGGCCGGGCCGGATCAGGTTAACTGCCGTAAAGTGCAAGTGCCTCGTCCCACCTAAATGACCGGACCACCTCAGGCTTCACCCATGTGTTGAATTATGTCAAGCCCAACCGTCCAGGGAACCCCCTTTTGGCGCGCCGAAACGCAAATTCCTCCTCAGCCTCGGCCACCACGCGCCCGAGCCCTTAACATCCTCATTGACTCCGAAAAATAAATGCCGATCAAGATTTCATCGTTGCTCTAGCCTTGCACCTTCATATCGTACCGTCGAGTTGTTGTCGTCATTGGGGATTTGTGTAATCCCCTCGGTGTATCTTCCCTTTTATTTCTCCTTTGTACACGTCCTGTTTCCATCATGACTTTCCTCATTAGGGCGTGTGTAGTTAGGTGACGTGACGAGTATGGAAGTGGGTCGCAGGTATAGGATCGACTGAGAAATGCTTCGTCGCAAATATAAAAGGAGTTTGAGAGATGTCAGATGTTGAATACGACCCCCGGACAGACCTAGGCCCATTCGTGAATCGTATGTTGGTGGTGATGAGTTTTTGTTCGACTTTGTTCCGGCTGTGAAATCTCTACCGACTGATATTTGGACCAAAATATCGAGTGCAACTCCTTCAAGTCGAAAATCCATCAAATTAAATTCATCCCACCCTTTTCCGTGACTGAATCTCAGCTCTAGGAGAATATTTCACTCCCAGGTTCGTAGATGACACCACCAACAGGTGTTCAGCTTTCGTCTTCCAGCGAGATAGACTAAAACTAGTAAGGACAAATTTTCCCCACGCGACTGATCTGCATAAGTAGCGTTATCGACGCGACTCCTGAATTTGACCTTGACTATCTCGGCTAGCTCTTATACCAACCAGACACACCTTGTCATTTAACAAATTATGATGATATGAATCAGGAGAATATGTGATGTTCTGTGGAGGAACAAAATGAATCATTTTTAATTATTCTGTCTTGGTTACTTCCAGACAGCTTATTTACATGTATCCTCAGTAATGTGAATCCAAATGATTTCAACAACTGGCTGCCTTTGTAGGGGTAGGGATGAGGAAGTTAGAAATCAACTAACTAATTAATCAATGTTTACTTATCAAGAATTTTCTCACTGTTGTAATTTACATAAAATGGTGGTTTAAGATGATGTATGGGTTGAGGATGATATATTTGTATATAGTCTCATTGCTAGTTAGGCTGCATACACTTAATGATTTAAAAAAAAAAAAAAAAGGAATCCAAATGAGGTATCATCTACCAGTCCTCGCTCCGTATTCTAACAATGAAAATGAATCGCACGACAGTATTCAACATGAGTATGAGAATAGGTTCAGTGGATCAAACCATACCGTGCACCAGTCAAGTCTCACGCATCAAACATGCCCAATGAAGGGGATGTCAATAATCTTGGTTGTTCCAATCATAGGGAAACTTCAGACACGCAGGGTCTGAATAACCAACACTAAAAATAACCCAAGTTCTTAATGCTCGCGATCATTCCACGAAATTTAACTGCAAATACTTCTTTGCATCTTTTTTATTTTGGTTGCCTGAGATGGTTCGTATAATTTAAGCTCACACAATCTTCAGGTTTTTATGGATACTTCATTAACTTTGTCCTTTGCTTTAATTTTATCCTTATATGCTGATAAATTAAGTTGAAAAAGTATCTGAAATATGATTAGGCTTTACTTTAAAGTCTTTGTACTGGGGCCAATTTTCAGTGATTTGATTGTTGAGAATCAGATTGAAAAAGTCTACTTGTTACCATAAATCTGATCTTCCAAGGTTTTTTGCATGCTAAATAGCTCTCACCTTGTTATCCGGTAACTTTTAGGTCTCTTTCCAGTGCCATGTATACAAACTGCGATATTATCTTCGATTTAGTGCTCTGTAGATTCATCTTGGAGCAAGGGAATCTTATCCCTCTCCACGCCCCAGCCGTTAGCTAGTAAAGCCTTCACATCTTCCAATCCATAACCACTAGTTTCAGGATAAAAGCGCCATATAGCCAGCCAGCCAAGAACACAGAATGCTGCATAAATAATAAAAGTGCTAGCAGGAGACATGAATTCCATCATAGGAAGAAATGTTAGCCCGACAACGAAATTGGCAGTCCAATTCGTGCTGGTGCTCATACCGGAGCCGAGAGCGCGGACTGAGAGGGGAAAGAGCTCGCTTTGGAGCCAGGGTACTGTTCCTAAGCCTAGGGCATAGGCACCGACAAAGAGAATGATGCTAAAAAGAACAATTAGGGGAGCCACTCGAGGCAGAGCGATATTTGTAGTTGATATGGAATCGGAAGTATTACGAAAGGTTGGAATTGACATGAATAGAAACCCTAGGCTGCAGAGTAATAAACCTAATATCATTACGGGGATAGTGTAGAGAAGAATATAACGCCGGCCGATGCGATCGATGATCAGGAAAGCGGCACAGGTCATGAAGAAATTAGTACTAGCCACGGCCAAAGAAGTGAAGGTAGGCGATTCAAATTCAAGGATAGCGAAGATCGACGCGGAGAAGTACATGATAGAATTCTGAGGAGAATATGGGTCAGCCACAGAGAAAAGCGTTCATAGGTTTCAGGTTCGCATACAAATCCACAAAGTTGCTGAAGAGCCTGCAATAGACATGAAATAATCAACGCTCTTCGATTCCCTCCATTTTGAGTAAGCTCGATCCAGGTATCTTTTAAAGAAGGTGTCCAGGTATCGTCATTTGTGTGCTCAGTCTCCCTCAACCGGGCTCTCCTGGAGTTTTGTTCTTCGATTCTTTCAGACTCAATGCCTTCGAGCACTTCATTAACTGTCCGATTCGCGGTTTTCCTTCCTCCGTAGACTTTACTTAGAACTCTTCTAGCCTCGTCTTCTCGTTCGCTCATAACCAACCACCGTGGTGTTTCGGGCATTGTTGTCATGATGAAGAATTGTATTATAGCTGGTACAGCTCCAAGGCCAGCCATGAAGCGCCAGCCGATCCCCGTTTCATTCCAGTCGCTGAAAGCCCAGCCTACTATATATGCAACTACCTGGCCAATGGTGATGAAAAGAACATTCACAATTACAAGTCTACCTCTGAATGGTGCAGGTGATAGTTCAGTAATATAGAGAGGAGCCACGAAGCTTGCAGCACCTATTGCAAGCCCAACCACTGCTCTACCCAAGACTAATTCCGAGACGGTGTAAGAAGATGCTTGGATTAGAGCGCCAACAGCGAAGGTAACATCTGCTAGCAAAATAACTTTCTTCCGACCCCAGCTGTCCGCCAGAAATCCCGCCAGGGGCGAGCCAAGTAGTGCAAAAAGCGCTGTAACCGAAGTAATAAGGCTCTTGTCTAAGACTGTCAATGAATGGCCAAGAGAAGTTCGAATGGAAATTAGCATGGAAGAAATGACGCCAGTATCGTCTGTTCCCATTCAGCCGCATATTTGAGTTTATTGTCGCACTTGATAGTACTCACAACCAAATAGGAACCCACTTATACTCGCAGTGAGAGTGAGGAGTGAAACAAAAGGTGCTAAATGGTGTGGATAATCTTCCTCTCGTGATGTCCCATTAGCATGTGCTTCATGAATTATTGAGCCCTCATCCCGTGCATGTCTTTCGCAACCCATCAGGGGCTCTCGAGTATTGTCAAGCTTTACCATGTTGAAAGCATATTTTATCTGGTCATTCGGTTTCAGTATGTTGCAGTCAACCCATCGTTGCGACATGTTAATCTCATGGTTTATCGCACTAGTCCCAATCAGCTGACTACTTCGAACCTTTTCACAGCCTTGTCGGCTGGGGCTTCGATGACTAATCATACCAAACTTTCTAACCTTATGTGCGATGTCGACATGTAAAATCATCCTGTCCGTCGATTGCAGTGATTAGTTCCCACAGCATGCAAAAAAAAGAGTTCCCACATCTTAAAATGCCACCCTGATTGTTTGCTCAATGAGACTTGCAAGAAGTTTTAATGCTTGATGAAAACTCCGGAAATAGGAACATCTTGGCTGAGGTATAGATATTTTTGTACTATTGGTAGAGAGACATTTATTCTTTGATTATTAAGTTTACGTTCAGTTTTTTTTTTTAAAGCCTCAAAATAAATTTAAAAGCTCAGTATGGGTACAGAACCGGTATTCAGAGTAAGGACTACATCTAAGACATACCCAACTTGGTTCCACCGCATGAGCCACTACAAAACTAGCAGTCGCTCACAAAAACAAGAAAACCAAAAACGAACCGGATAAACAGAAGATTCCTCCATTTTGGGCCCAAGAAGTGCATTACTCGCACATTCCCTCGCCCGTCACAAATCCCAAATGACAACTTCACCCAATCTCCGCTGAGAGCATGAGATGGGTAGCAGGTACCATTGATACAGCTGGTATCCAGCTATTGGTCAGTAGCGCCTAAAAAGGCGTTATTGAGGTCGTTGTGCCCTCAAGCTTCTTCTTGGGACTCCAGAACTCCAAACCCCGATCCCTCCGCCATCGAGATATCAATATTTCAGGCGATAATCGCCTCTTCTGTCCTTTCGGCTGCAACTTTTCCCCTCGCTGCTTCTGCAAAACTCCCGTGTTCGACTTGGAAGATCGGTTCGAGCTACTGTTTGTTACCGGACCGAACCTGTTGGGTCTGGCTAGGTAGTCCCAAAAATCTGAGTTGTGAGGTCCTCCACAGTTTCAACACCTGGTGAGAGCTTTGCACTTGGCTTCAGGGTGCATTGTCGATCCGCACTTCAGGCAGACCGGAGCGCAGGAGCAACCACGAGCGGCATGGAAGCCAAGGCAGCAATAACACTGCCGAATTTTTTGACGAGGCTGGAGCTTTGTAGCCGTTCCAGACTCGTCGAAGAGGCGGAATCCTGGGCAAAAAGGGCATAAAAGTCTCTCTACAGCGCACCAGGACGGCATCTACCATGAGGTCGCACCCGGATTGGCCCCTTGCCAGTTTGAATAGGCATCCCTTCTAAGACCTAACTAGGATTGATCGGTATAGAGCCGTATGGGTAAGTTAAATTTACGAGTAGACTTAGTATCTATAAGGTTTAAGCAGACCAGGTACGAAGCTACTTCTGGTTTGCTGTTTTGATTCGCCAAGATCAGAGATGCGCTCAGGATCTTCTGTCTCGAATTTTCGTCCTTTACCGCAATGGCAAAGCCGGTCCTATCTCGATGTATAGAGCAATCCGTGTTAAGGATGTAGTTGGCAGACACCAACATTGCAGTTTGTATACCCTCGGATGACAAATTTCGGCGGGGGTGGTCTTTACCGAGGCAAAGGAAGAGTAATTTGTCGATTTTCGCCTTTAGGGCGTCTTTCTTTGAGGCTCTGGCCGCAGGTTACGGCACAGCCTTTACTATAGGAACTGCTTTTTATCGCAGTTCATTTCTGGCCATTATATCTCAGGTGCTTTTTGTCAGTCATGCTGGGACGGTGGTTGTGGTTGAGCCCATGGCGTCGGGAGCTCTCGGAAGAAGATTCATTGGGCATGCAGACCGGACCTGAGGCCATGTAGTCCGCAATGGCGGCGCGTTCTTCAGCCCTGAGAATTGGTTGAAGCTCCGGGGAGCTGTCTGATTATGATGCAACTGTCTCCGACAATTTTGACTCTTTCGGAGGTGACTTGGAGAGTCCTCCAGTCCCGTCGTGTATTGAGGCTGATCAAGGAATTTCCTCATCATATTCGACTGTCCCGACCATGTTGGAATTGGGCGCAGAGACGTTCAAGGCTTTTTCCGTCCCTTTACTCGAGGCCTAGCTCATCTCCACGCATTTTTGCGATAGCTCTCGGGTGGACTCTCGAATTGTCCAACGTTGCGTTGGAGAGCGTTTTTCGAACAGGCTGCATAATAATGCCAGAAGCTCGGCCACAATTTTCTGGACGAATGCGACAAGCGCTAGTAAGAGGAGTGAGGGAAAAAGGGAAGGCCCGAAATTTCAAATTTCAAAAAATTGGATGTGTATCTGTTGATAATTGAGCTACTTGAGTCTATGAACATCCATAAAATGGACCCTCTCTGACCCAGACCAGAGCTTGTAAAATGCTCCTATCGTCTTTCCATACGAAAAATGATACCTGAGAAATTTCCCATGATTGATAGCAATTTATCTTTTTATTTCCCACATTATTCATCCTCCTTTTTTACGTAACCTTCTGTTCGAAATTCTGACTCGAATTTAGGACTAACCCTTTATCTGTTTCATCTAAGGTCCCTGACAAGATCGACTCTCTCTACATATATCCCAAGTGCACTAATCGCACCAACTGTCGCATATACGTTTGGATATTTACTTATTACAGTGTACTTCGGCTCATCATGGTAGATGTGAGGTGGTTTCATGGATAAACGTGGCGGAAACTAGGATGGTGTCTCATGGGGAGTTCCATTCTAAAACACAACTCGGGGTTAGATCAAGTTCTCAAACAATTAGGACAGGCTCAGGAACATAGGGTCGTTTCATAGGGATTGCGTAGTATTACTGTTCGAGACAGAGCTTAGGGCTGTCCTATTATCTGATGTACATATATACCCAGCGTGAAGGAGTATTCTTCTTCACGCAACGTCTTCTGTTTATACTCATACCTATTGTTCACGTACTTATCTCTTCTCTCAAGAAGACCGCCGTTATTGTACCCTTCTCACCTATGTTACGGTTTGACCATTGTTTGAGCTTAGGTGGATACCTAAGCCTGTTACTAAGAATTCTTACTATGAGGCTATATGAGGGGGAGATGAAGCTGAACGAAACGGGACTACTACTCAGGAGGCTGAAGCATTATTACAACTTAGTGACACCTGGAAATACGTGGCTGGGTAAGAAGTATTGTGCCTAAGGACAAGTCACTAGTCTGTAGATTCACGAGGAGGATTAACTCCTATAAATACCTGTTAGTAGTAGCTAGAGTTAGCTTTTCTCCTCATATAGTTTATTAAATCGATTTATTCATCACCAACTCGGTTTCCGTCACAACCTACTAATTATTTTACTTTTACTTCTTCCGTGAACCCTATACCTAACGCTGAATTTATACCTCCTACTATTAGGAATCACCACCATACTCCACACCCGTAACCTACTTGTACCAAACTCGTACCCTACGGAATACTGATAATACGGCTCCCTGAGAGGTGGCTGGTCATTGCTAAGTTTGATAGGCGCATAAGACTAATGGGGGAGGGCAAGACTGAACACCTATACGCGGTATCCTCTACGAGCCAAGTTCAGTCAAATTTCGCAATTCCAAAGAAGTTAACCCACGAGGCCATGATTTAAATTACTCTACCACGTCAATTTTTCATTCCCAACGAGTTCGACTCCTAACTTAGTCACATCAAGTCTACAAATACGACCTATTAAAGCCTCATTCCAATGACCACACTGTTGCAATCTAACGCTTATCATCCTCGGACTTCATGTCGAGCAGTAGTTGTATTGCAAGTGATGCCATGCGGGGGAGAAGGAATAGGATGGCGAAAGTCGCTAGCTAGACCTAGGCGATGTGGCCCACTTGTAGATGGAGAAATCCCTTCTGTTTATAGAGATATAACAACCCAAACTAGTACAATGACAATAGTAAGGAACTCCCACATCCAAACCTCACTTATCCCATACATCGTGACCCATAAACCTCTACCTCATATCTATCATTGAAAGACAAAGCTTCAACACGCACCTCTCGTGGACTTTCTCTGGCATCAGCTAGTCACCAAATACACGCCCACGCCGATATTTACACCCGACGGAGGAAGCAAAGCGTGGCGCACATATCTGGGAGACAGCTCTTTAAGATGAACGTGAGAGGGATTAAGACAAGTTCACAAGACGATGCGAAAGAAGGATATAACTTCCATGGGCGCGAATTTTGGAATTTTGGCAATGAGTTTTAAGAATCGAGCTTTGTGCGCGCCAGGACTTTGCGTGCGAGAATACAGCTGACACTGTAAAGACGAGTAGATGATGGAAGATGGCGTGGTCGGCCTCCTGGTGGTGTTCTCTGGTATAGTTTGAGTAGCCTGGGCACCTACTCCACTTGGGAAGGAGATACCTCAGATTACATTTCGCGCGGAGAAAAGTTGATGGTTGACGGAGGCATGTCTGGGTAACTCAGGGTTTTTGAGAAGTTTCCCTGGGTGGGTATTCACGGATGAGGGTTGACTTGGGGTGAAGAAAAAGTATCAAACTATGGATAGTTTGGAGGCGATTAATGTCAGATATAAAGTTTAAGGAGTTAGGTTTACAAAGCTTGGACTTAATTGTTTCGAAAAAAGGTGCTTCGCTTGGGCTGTAGTAATAAGAACTCTATCTGTTCTGACTAGAGATGTTTCGTTCCAAACCATGAGAAGCTTGGTCTATGGGGACAAGTTGCGGACAGATAGAGCATTTGCCATTTTCTGGACGTACATAATCTAGATAGTATCAGAAAGAGAAATGGCAGCCAGGAATTAATTGACACTTTTTACTTCTACTTCATACATTTTTCAATTGACTCGTAGAGTCTAACAAAAAGCTACCATAACTTCGCAGTGGTACTGGGTGACTATTCTCAACACCTGTCAGTGGTATCCTCTACAAACCCCCAGCTCTCATTGTATAGTCTGCGGAGCCGAGATTAAGTAACACCGTCCTCACTTCGATGGGGATTCCCAATCGATTTCGCCGTCTAGATCTTCTTCATCCCTAAGAACATCCTCTTATCACCATTATCATGAAGCTGACC